AGGGTTGGAAGGGACCTGAGCAGATCATCAACTATGAAATTTGGTATTTGCTTTCACTCCAAAGCAGAATGCATGCAAGACCACTCAAGATTTAGAACTTTAAGACCCACCCACATTAGCCAGGAGCCCAGAGGTTTAGACATTCACCTGTAATGCAAGAGACTCAAGATAATCTGTATTCTGAATCAACCAGACCAAGTCCTTGAAGCCTATCAATATCTCAACCTCACGTTCCCCAGAAATACCAGGACATTAGGAACACAGAAAGCATTAAAAGTGTAAGATCACAGCATCTCTGCTATATTATGGTTGTCTGATAAGGAATGGGGGCCTAAAACCAAACCTCTGCATAGCTTCTCCTCCCCCACCAAGGAAAATCCCAAGGGTCAGGAAAAAAAAAAAAAAGAGGTTTAATGACACTCCATCCGTATCATTTAATCTGCCCTTCACTGCCTCTAAACCCCTGTTGCATCCTGCCACTAGCATGCTTCCCCTTCACCCATCCCCACCGATTTCCTAATCTCAGTTCCTCTAGTCCATTTAATGCATGCTGCAAGATCCCATTAAGGGTGCCATGCCACCCAGCCCACCCCTGTGAAAGCAGGTAAATGCAGAGATGAGGAAAGAGGGCATCTCCCCTAGCTACCCCAACATTACCTGCTGCTGCCCATCCCCACAGGCAGCCCCTTTGCCAGCTGCCTTCCATCCATCTCCCAGCAGCGTGATCTGCTGCAGGAAGGCAGGTGAAACGATGCTTTGAAGCCTGCCTCATCCTCTCCACTCCCCCATGCTCAGAGGGCCAGCTGAGGAAGTGGTGGCCAGCAAGGGACCTCACAGGATCAACAGCTCTGGACCCCACAGGTACTTGGAAGGGAAAGGGAGGGGAGGCTAGTAATATGAAGGGGAGGTCTGTTTTATTTGAAAAGCAAAAGGCTCAAGGAGTAAGATGAGAAGACACCAGCTGATGAAATCAAGGGACAGACTGCCAACTTGTTTCTCATAGTCCAAGCAGATGTCAATGAGCAGATATCTGAGCCACTTAGTCTCACAAGCCATAGTTTGTGATTAGACTACTACTATTATGACTTTTACTTGCTTAACAGAACTATGGCTCCATCAAGAAATGCAACATGAATATATTTCTTTAAAGAAGAGGGTAGAGGAACTGAGTGATAAAACACATTTGCCTTTGACAATGAATCTGAATGGACCCTGTATATTAATGCCTTGCTTCATTCACTCACTCACTGGCATTAAGGAAAGGCAGAAGCACCTCCAAAACTACACCCTATGGCAATATCCTCTCATCCGCCCATTATTACCATACTGTAATTAATGAAATCGAGCAGCTGATGGGCATAAAACTAAAAATATAATGGGCTTCCCTTGACAGGAGGGCAAGGGGGATTCAGCTCTTGCTCATCTGAGGAGAACAGGAAACAAGAGCAGCCACACGGCTAAGCCCAGGCACAGCTGCCAATAAAGGCTGTGTGTCCTACACACCATCATTTCTTCCCTTACGCTTTGCGGGTAAGTCATGAAGATGTTTCCCATCTCCAGAGCCTAGAGGCAAAGGCTCCCAAGAAGCTGCTCCCCTCAGAGCAGCTAGTCACGTGCACCAGCAGGCCAAGCAAACGGTGGCCCTCGGGATTTTGCTGGCGCCATGCCCGCCTCCCTCCCCCTTCCCCCGTTAAAGGAGACAGATGAAGAGAGCTCCTCCCCGTCCTGCCGGAGTAAGGGCAGGGCGGCCCATACAGGGGCTGCGCGGCTACCTTGGGCCCCATAGTGAGGGCGACGGCGTCGGCCAACAGATCGACCCCCTGCAGCATGAGCGCGCGCGCGTCCGGCCCGAACTTCACGTCCTTGGCGTAGGCGCGCGCGGAGGGCGACGCGAGGGCCCGGCCCAGCGGCCTCAGCCGACGCAGAGCGGCGGGGACACGCAGCATTTTCTGAGGAGAAAACAGAGACAGTCTCAGCCGCACCGCCCGGGAATCCGGGCCGAAACCCCGGCCCGCTCTGCAATCGCTGCCCGGTCCCCCCACGTGCGCACTGCGCCAAGGCTAGCGACACGGCCAGGAGACCGCCCCCCTCCCGTGGTACGTGCAGCCGGGCGCTCTCTTCACTGCAGGAACAAGCAGCAGCCCCAGCCCCAGCGCGGAGGTCGCGGGCGCCCCTCACCAGACGAGCGGCGGGCGCGAGGCGACGGCTGCGCGAGCGGGCGGGCTCTGGCAAGTGCCTAGAGGACGCACGGTGCTTTCAGGCTATGCCCCTCCCCCCGACCGGGCAGCGACCCATGTGCGGCTCCGCGCGGCCGCCCCGGACCTAGCACTGCGGCCCGCGCCCACCCCGCCGGGGGAGGGGCTGCGCCCACCAGCCAATGGCTGCAGCCCCTGGTGGGGAGGAGGTGGGGCTCGCGGGGCTAGCCCGTCCCACGCATGCGCTCTGGCCTCCCTCGAATGCTTTAGACAGGTTCCGGGGCCCCCCGGTTCCAGAACTTTCTAGAACGCTCATGCTCGCCAGGGGTCAAAGGGAACATAACGTCACTTCCGGGCGGTGGAACTCCCTGTAGTCGGTCGGGGGAGTATTAAAACTGGCTTTAAGGTCAGCCGTGGCAAGAGTCCGCCCCAACGGCTGCGCGGGTCCGCGGGCGAAAATAAACCAGCAAATCCGATCCCCCTCTCGCGGCTCCACCCCTTCTGTCATCGCGGCGAGGAGGCAGAGCGCTTGCGCGGTCGGTGACCTTTTCACGTGCGGCCGCAGCGGGCAGTGTAGTGTGTGGGGAGCGGCGGGCGCGCCATGGTGAGTGCTGCGGCCGGTCTAGGGCCTTGATCGGCTGTGTCTGGAGGGCGCGGAGCCGGGCCGTGGTTAGTGACGGCTGTTCCTTCTCGGGCGCGACCTTAGGCCATGTGCTGGGGACGCCCGGGCAGGGTTTGGGGGCTTGACCCTCTCGTGCCCCTCAGCGCCGTCCTTCCTCCGCCTTTGCCTGTGACGGGATCGCTGGAGCCGGTGTCCCGGCCTCGCTCTGCGGCCCGGCGCCGCGCCCGGCTCGGTGAGAGCCGCTGGGCTGGCGCGGGCCAAGGGGCGTTTTAGTTCGGGTCGGATCCCCCCCATTCCCCGCCGTTCTCCCCCGGGCGCAGGAGAAGGAAGTGCCGCGTTCAGCGTGAGTAGAGGTGGCACCGCCACGTGCTGCTGCCCGGGTGCCCGTGACGGCTTTGCCCAGGCAGGGCGGCCCCGGCTTCCAGGGCGCCCGTTGAGCCGTGTAGCAGCGGCGAGAGCCGCGGGCTTGGCCCCCCTGGCCCCCCTCTCCCCCCTAGCGGCTGCCAGATCTGGACACTAGTGGAAACTGCTGGAAAGGAGCGGAGCCCGCACCACGTGACTAGGCTGGGCTCCCTGCTTACCCGCATGGTGCGACTTGTAGGCTCGCATTTGATTTTGGCTCTGTGATCTGTAAATGTTTTTTGGGTGATTTGAAGGCCGAGGTAGAACAGTAAAGTAAGATAAACGATAAAAAGAAGCCTTAAGACTTTTTTGCAAAGATCAGTAGATAAAATTAGCCACACTTCTACAAGAATGCCAGGAGTCTCAATACATGTTTTGCTTTTCCTTCTAAAATGTCAGTAACAGGTAAGGTGCCATGAGTGAACTTACACCTCTACATAATATCTTTCTGGAAGGGTGTGCATAATGGATGAAATGCTGAACTGAAATAGTGTAGCAGCCACAACATGTTCTTTGTATCTTATTTGTGTCATGAAGGACATGAGTGAAATAGCTCCAAGGAGAATTGCCATCAAGATCTTTTTTTTAATGGTAGCCAAATCTTGATTTCAAACTTCTTCAGATGAAAATGCAGTTAATAATCAGTAATACTTGTAGTGTTCCGGGCTTTTAACCTGCCCAAAGTATATGCGGCTGCTTCATCTAAAAATTTACCCATCTGTTATTTACATGATTTAGTTATTTAAATTCTTGTACATCTTTTTTCCATTGGAAGTCTATTGCAACTATTTGAGGGGAGGGAGTAGATTAACTTCTGCTATAATAAATTGTGCCTGATCCAGAGAGGTACAGAGCTTATGCAGTTTGATTAACTTGACTGCTCAACATCTCTCTGGAGCCTGCTACTAGCATAGTAAAATAGTTTGGGTTTTTCAAGTTTTTGGGATTGCAACCTTGTTGCAGTGCTGTGGGAAATATTCCTTTAGTCTGTAGCGCAGCATATAAATTTCTGTTGTTGTTGCTGGGTTTTTTTTTTAAACAGGCAGGGCAGGCATTTCGGAAATTTCTTCCCCTCTTTGACCGTGTTCTGGTTGAAAGATGTGTAGCTGAGACTGTAACAAAAGGAGGCATCATGCTTCCAGAAAAATCTCAAGGAAAAGTGCTGCAAGCAACAGTTGTGGCAGTTGGATCAGGATCAAAGGCAAAGGTAAATATGTTAGAGCTGGAAGCTTGTTTGAGGGGGAAATAGTAATTGTGGTGGGATAATTGGAAAAAAAAACCTGTTGCAGCATACTTAGTAAAGTTAGTCCATTTGATCAAAACCATGAGAATAATTTGAAGAGGGATTGGAGGCAAAGGAGCCAAGAATTGAGTCCTAGCATGGCTCTGAGCAGGTTTTAGAGCAGTCAGCAGTGGTGTCTGATGCTATGCTAAACTAGATTTTTTTCTGGAAGAAAGAGGTCTGATACCTGGCAAGCAAGGGCTTTCAGCATAAAACTTAAGCATGCTTTATGGCAGATAAATTGCATACAGGTTTTTATAGCTGTTCTTTGCAAATCAGTTCCCAAATATTGAAGACTTAAGAATATAAAATAGGCTGTAGTAATTCCTTTTTTTTTTTTTTGCATTCTTAATATCTAAAAGTTGAGTTAAGCTACAGTGAGCTAAACTTGCTTTACTCATTCTTCTAAAAAAAACAAAACAAAACAAACAAACCCAAAAAAACCTTTCCTTGGGGCAGGCAGTAGAATGCTTGTAACTCTCATGCAGTGCCTTTGCTTTACTTTGCCATGTGTTCCTATGTAGATGTAACTGGAGTATTAAAATAAGTTAACTTTTTAGTTGTATCATGAAATCACTTATAATTGACAGTCCATAATAATATTTAACTTGTGTAAAACATACCATGTAAGCTTTAACTTAAGCTTTGTCGCACAATTCCAAACAGCTTGCCCAACCAAATGGATGTTAACTGTTCAAAGTAGTTTATGAAACAGGTTTTTTAGTAAGCTCTGAATTCAGGTTACAGAAATAAACTAATTGTGACTTTATTTTACTTGCACTTAAGAGAATTTAAAAGCTGTTTTTATAAGCTGTCTGGTTTGCCACACACTTTCAGAAGTCTGTCTCGTCTCTGTTACAGAGGAAATCTGTTGACTTGGCCTATATTATACTGAGACAAATGAACCCTACGCTCTCATATTAGGGCTTTTCTGAATAAGAAATCTAAATTTTAAGAAGAATGAATTGTACAATGAAAAGGCTTGGAATTTGAATTCTGAATATTAAATCCTTTGCTACTCAGGTGTAGCATTATGCTAATGTTTTGGAACCAGAAAGTGGAGCGCATTACTCATTAAGTAACCTGAATTGTCTCTCTCTCCCCCCTATCTTTTTGTTAGATTGCATATATTTTTATAATCTGGAAGTTTTGTTTTTAAACTGCAATAGTACTTCGTGTGTTACGCTGTAAATAAACTTACATTTTTTTTCTTCCCTTCAGAATGGAGAGGTCCAGCCAGTCAGTGTTAAAGTTGGTGACAAGGTTTTACTACCAGAATATGGGGGTACAAAAGTAGTACTGGAAGATAAGGTTTGTCTAAAATACTTAAGTGCAAGCTAAGCTAGTTTTATTAACTTGAGACTCTGTAAAGTCCAGTTGATTACAATATATAGTCCAAAAAACCCCAACATTGATTCTTCAAGATGTGTGCCACTAATTAAGTTAAAATACTAGAGCACCAATATCAAGTTGGTTCTGAAGTGTATACTGTGCTTCCCCTACTGGAAGAGAAACCCTACACCCTCAAATGTTAGGGGAGAAATACCTAGTAGGAGTGACTGTAGGATGAATTTTGCTGAGGCGGGGAGAAGATTCCAGAACCTCCCACCACCAAACTTGCAGGAATTGATAAATGTGGTCTCAAAGGTTATTCTAACTAGACAAAAATTATCCTGGTGCTTGTCCAAAGGGGCAAAAGCATCCTCTGGAACAAAGGTAACCAAAGGTGCATAATTTATGGGGCAGGTGAAGTGTAGAAAAGCCCTTGGGTTAATAATTCCTTTGATTGTGTAATATTAACTCTCACATTTTAATAGTTGTTGCAGTCATGATTTGTAACATTTAGTGCCATTTACCTTCGCGTCAGTGCTTGTATGCTATTTGGCTCTGGATATTTATTCTATTTTTTCGTCCTTTTTCATTTGCAGGACTACTTCTTATTTAGAGATGGTGACATTCTGGGAAAATACTTGGACTAAATTTCGTGTATTGCAGCAGTATCATGAAGTCATCCATTCCACTAAACTGTTGAATTTTTTCATCATGTAAATAATTTTCTGTTGTTTAGTTTATAATAAACAGATATTGAATCTGAAATAACTGGTACAATCTCACTGTAGTGATTTGGAGCACTTAAAATAAAAGGATGTGTACTGTCAGATAAACATTTCAGTTCCTCATCTTTTATAATTCAACAGTAAAAAGATAATGATTGTGATTTCAGTTATTTTTTTTAAAGAATTTTATTTGATAACCTCTACATTTTTCAATGCATCTAAGACTTCTGTAGCAAAATTACAACAGGCTTTTCATCATCCCTGCCTTACTGTCTGTTTCTACTCCCCTGCAAACAAAACCGAACTCCCAAATGCTGTCACGCAGTAACACTTTCTGTGCTTGTCTGTAATGCGATTTTGTTTCTAGTAAATAGAGGTAGCTTAGTATTGGCACAGAAACCTGTCAGCCAGGTGAATGCTGTGAAAACAAAGTGAAGTTTGAGGGTACTAATTACAGCAATTTTGGACCTTCCTTGTTTTAAGTAACAGATTATCATCTTTTACCAACTTTTTTGGCTTGTCTGTGTTTTTTTTCTTAGTTTGGTAAAATGAATTTGTTGCACAAATCTGTACTTTTATAAAAAATGCTTTTCTTAATAGGGAAACTTTGAAACAGATCTGTGCAAAATAAAGGTTCTTGGAAAGTGTTTAGCTTAAAAAAAAATCCTGCAGAAAAACCTACTTCCTTTAGAATTAAAGAAATTGAGCTTGAACTACTAAATTGGCAGGAGTCTCAACAATAATGTCTGCACAGAGTAGCATTTTTTTCAATGCAGTTAGGACACAATTCTGAATTCAGCTGGAAGAATAAAGACCAACTGTCTTGACATCCTTACCAGCTCAAGAAAATGTAGCATATTTACCTAAATCCAAGATGACACTGAATGTAAGATGACCCTACTAATATTAGATTCTATACATCCTAGTAAATTGTCTATGTATGGAATCTAATGGAAGGTTATCTTAAAGTAGTTTTGGGGGGAGCAAGGCAGGCAACTTTTCTCTTGCTGTCTGACCTTTACTGCTCTCATCCTTGAGCCCCTGCCCTGGTCCCTTACCCTTGCTCTGGTACCATCAGGTGCTCTCCCTTGCTTCAACCTGGAGCGTAGCCCCAGTCCAGCCCCACCGCAGCAGCGCAGAGCCAGCACCACTGATACAGGGCCAGCCTGAGGCTGTGTTTCCATGCCCCAGGCTGTAGCCAAGAATAGAGCCTGGTGGCACTGCTGGAGTAAGATGGAGGGGTGTGGGTGGGGTGTGTGAGACTGCCCCCCACAATTGAGAGGCAGCATAAGGCAGATGGGGAAAGATGGAGCAGCAGGCATTGGGGGAGGGGGTGGGGTGCACTGCAGCTCTAGCCATGGCTGGCCACCTCCCTCATCACTTTGTATTTGATTCCAAGATGGGGTGTTTAAATAGAGGAAAATAAACTCATCTTGGAATTGAGTAAATACAATTAAATCCTCACTTACTACAAGGAAAAAAAGCCTAAACATTTAGCAACCTTGAACCTTGTCCCATGGCAGTTGGTCTTTGTGATTTTATTTCTGAAACTGAAGATTGTAGGAATTCATGTACTAGGCCATGGTTATGCTAAGTTATCATAGCTTACAGTGCTGAAAAGCAGTAGGAAGAATGGCCTCCTGACCACTAGATGACCCAGTAAGAAAGAAAAATGAAGATGCACTAGTGGACAAAAAGACACTGAAAGAAGTATGAAAATGGCTACCATGCATGTGTGTAAACCTTGCAAAAGAAGTCAAGATGAACATCATAAGAGTTGGAATGGGGGGTGGGGAGGGGCATGCTAATAAATGGGTTTGGAGACCTGTCCCTTGTAGAGACCCAGGGGGACAACGTACCAGTGAATCTACCAGTCAAGGCTAAGCTGCTCCCATTTCAGACTGACTGAATCATCAACTGGTGTCCTGTCAAACAACAATAGACTTTTTGCCACTGAACACATGTACAGTTGTGTTTTTTCTGTTGTGTTCTGGATCTGGAGGACAGCTTGCTAACATCAGAACGTTACGGACTCCAGTAGCCTGTGCATCATAAGCGACCAAATAACACCTGAGAAAACTGCATGCCTAAGAACAAAGATTACTTGTAGCCTATTTTAAAAGACAGCTTATCGAATAACCCAGTGAAAATAAACCAGCAAGCATAGCACAATGATGTCTGTGTTGTGACCTATTTTTTCTGGTCACATGTTAAGCCTCTGAAGTGGTTGAAGTATTTAAAATATTTACAGTTTAGCTTACACAAACAAGCCATGCATATAAGAGAGAACAGGGACTGGAAGAACATTTTGAAGGTAAGTTGAGGTACCTAAATACATGCTCCAGTGTGTTCTAATTACAACATATGAGCAGACAATCTAATTAAAACATGCCAGCGTGCTGCATTGTCGCATGTATTCAGTGTCTCGTGTTTCAGATGGTAGCAGGGGTGTTGTAACTAAAACTTGTCAAACTTTAAAGTACCCCTGCAGCCATTTTGAAAAGGGGGACACTGAATACATGTGATGTGGTGTTTTAATTAGAGTGGCTGTCTGGGGCATGGAGCATGCACCCCTCCCCCACCCCATGCATAGACATCCTCAGTGTTTAGGCCTACTATTTCTGTCTGTCTTTTAAATAATGCCATCTGCAATGGATTTTTGTTGGCAGTTGTAGCATAGGGCAGTGGTTTTTAACCTTTTTCATTTTCAGACCCCTTTAGAAATTTTAATGGAGGTCTGGACCCCTTTGAATGGTAAGTGTGGGTATTCACATACTCTTAATTGATCGTAGTCATCTTTTGCAGACCCCTTAGACACAGGCTGCAGACCCCCATGGGTCCATGGACTACACGTTGAAAACCACTGGT